AGTGGCTATTCCCTTTAGGCAAGCAAATACGAATGACTTCATTTTTCAACAAGATGGAACATCGCCCCGTAGGCATCTCAGGGTTCGAGCTTTTATCTGAATGAAAACGTGCCTCAGAGGGGGACTGGTAGAAGATTGATAGAAATGCTACAGACCTCGCTTTCTGCACTTGACCTGTCAGATCCCCGGACCTCATAATGTGTGATTTTTTCTTGTGGGGGTTATGTTAATGACAAAATTTATGTTCAATCAAATTCCAGCGAATATCAATGAAAAAAAGATCGAATAACATTAATAACAGCTACAATCAGCATGTTGCCCCGAGATATCCTGAGGCGTGTTTTTTTTGTTGTTTTTTTTGTTTTGGGGGGGAGTATTTTTTATTATATCGGCTTGATGTTGTCTGTACTGTTGGTGGAGGCCATATTGCACACTTTTAAAGCACTAAATTTAAACTTGAAAGTATGTACAACACGTCATGTGTCCAAGCTAGGGTATTCAACTGTTTTTCGTTTTTTAAATATCACAATATGATGATTTTTTAATCACCCTATATTTTATCAATTTCCCTGAGCATCCTGTATGTAAATCAGCCCTGACCAAAATAGGGTTTAAAAAAAAATAAAGTTTAATTTTTAAGACGGGGCTATTTTGTGTGAGGAGTCCTAAACATTTTACATCGGAAAAACACGTTTAAGTCCAGACATAATGCACGAAATGTCAAGGAAATAATTTGGAAAAGTTGCTTGATCAGATTCATTGATGTATGCCATATATAAACCTTCTAAGAAAGGTGAAAGTCCTGATATACCAGAGACATATCAATTTTTTTTTTTTCCCTGGTCAGGAAGGACTGACGGTAGGAAGCTGAAATTTGGTATTAGTCTTAATATTTCTTTATGTAGTCGCCTCCAACAGTTATAAACTTTTGCCATCGGCGTAAGACCTTGAAAAGACCTTGAGACCTCTTTGTCAGAAAACCAGCCCACGCTCCTTTGACCTCATCATCACTTTTAAAATGTCTTCCTTTTAAATCCTTTTTCGGTTTGGGGAATTTAAAAAAGTCGGATGGGGCTAAATCAGGAGAATATGGTGGATGTGGCAAAATTTCATTGCCACTTTCTCGCGTAGTTTCTGCAGCTTTTCTTGAAGTGTGTGCTGGCGTGTTGTCGTGAAGCAGCAAAAAGCCTTTTCGGATCTTTCTTCTGCTTCTTTTTTTTTTATAGCCTCTCGTATTTTTTTTTAGCTGGTTAGAATAATTGTCTCCGCTAATCGTATGTCCATTTTCAAGATAGTCTGTCCTAATCACTCCTTCTTGATCGCATAAAAACCCATGATAGCATTACTTTTCTACTTGATGGCTGCACCTTTGCCTTCTTTGGCGTTGAAAACAAAGGCGATTTCCACAGCATTAATGCAGATTTTGACTCAGCATTGTATTTAGTGGACCCATGTCTCATTCATGGTTACAAGTCTTTCAGAAAATTAGTTTCATCTTTTTCATACAGACCAAGCAATTCTTGACAACAATCTACACGTTGCATTTTTTGAGGAGAAGTCAACAAACGTGGGACCCATCCCGCAGAAACTTTGGTCGTATCCAAATGTTCATTTAAGATTTGTTCTACTAATCTAATGCTAAGCCTAGTTTCTTTGCTGAAATATTCGACCGTCATCCGCCTATCAGACAACACAAGTTTCTTGATTTTCAACACATTCTCTTCTGTTGATGCTGTCACTGGGCGACCATCAAGGTGGTCATCTGCAATGTCCATGAATCTGCATAATTTGAATGTTTTAATCCAATATTTTATCACAGCAGCATAGGACGGGAAATCAGCTCCATATATGGTATGCTTCTCCGTAAAAATAATCGGTGGTTGCTTGCTTTGCAAGAACAAAAACTTCATTACAGCCCTGTTCTCAATTTTCTCCATTTTAATGTTGAAGAGGCCTGGCAACGTTTCCATTGCTAGGTTTCTGCTATCTCTTACAGTGCGCTGGTGTTAGAACAAGTAGTCGGAAATTCCACAAAATTTACACGCGTTCTCGGAAGATGATTGTTGGCTTTCACCCCAAATTTCAGCTTTCTACCTTTATTTCTTCATAGTCATATAAAAAAAACAATTACAAAAAAAACAAACTAACTTTTGGTATGCCCCTCGTACAGCGGAATCGCGGCCTAATCAGTTATCTGCGAGACGACTGGTTTTCTTCACTCTCGAGAGAGTTGCTCAAATAATAATGATTGTTCGCGGCCTAAAGTTAGGAATGACATAATATATGCAAGCAGCAAGATTGTTATGAAAGTTTTTTTTTCATCTTCATCTTTCAGTAACAACAAATTTGATATGTAAGCTAGGTTTTGTCTGCAGACTGTACGCATAGAGCTTTATCTTTGACATTGTCAGCTTGCTATATGCTGAAGTCACTCTAAACTACGATAAAGAGTAGACAGAAAAGTGCCAAGAGGAAGAAAGCCCAATGTCAGTGATATTATGACACCCCACCATGTGCTCATGTGTAGGGCCCATGTGAACTAGCTTTGCAGATATAACAGGACACGACCAACCAAAGGTCCCGTAAAAGACTTCCAGAGGAAAAAACGGAAACATGGATTTTTAAAGTGCGTCCACTTGTTCGTTTGTGCGCATGTGCGTGTGCCTACGTGTGTGCACGAGTGTGTGCGTTTGTGTGTCTGTGTGTGCATATTGTATAGTATGTGCATTCCTGTGCGTGCGTGTGTGTGTGTGTGTATGCGTGCGTGCGTGCGTGC